AGCAAAAGGCTGTGTGGTGTTTAGCTGCCTGCTGGGTTAAACCACAACACCACTTTCTTCTTCCTATTTTGATCACACAACAGTCCTCCCTGACAGTTTTGTAATCTGAGGTGAACAAAGGGTAATTCTAGTTCTGTAGTTTTGGTACGTAACAAACCGAAGAAGAAACAGGAGACTAGAGTAAATCAAAGCTTTTGGTAACAATGAACAGACATCACGTTTTTAAGACATTATCAATCCAAGCATCTGAGTGGTCATAATGACCACCATATTGGAAGCTCATTGCTTTCACAAAAATTAAATGTAAAAGTTACATAAAATCCCCTGTTTCTAAATTAATGTGTTTTACAATAACAATTCTGACCTCCAGTTGAAGGGACCATTGCTGATTGGTACTTGGAACCCAATGCTATTAATCCAACTAATTTTGACCACGTGTATTGCTTGCTTGTTTTAAGCGGACTTTTAATTAACCTACCAGTAAAATATCTTCAGTCCTAGTGGTAATCTGATAGATGATCTGAAACATCTGAAAACATCTAAAATAAAAAGTTAAAAAATTGGATAAACGAACAGTAAAATGAGTACTCAAAAAAAAAAATCTACACTTTGAAAACATGTACTCACTATGCTCAATTAACCAGCTTGTAGCTTAAAATACAAAGACCATCTGAACGGCAATTTCTGATTTTAGATGCTAACAATGCATTTGCAACAGAAATTATTGTTATTATTACCACAAAGATTTTTAAAGCACAAACAAAAACATTGTTTCCAAAAAGGAAACTATACGAGTCAATTTTCTCTGAAGAGCATATGCTACAAGTGAAAATTTTCAATCCTTAAGAAAGGAATTAATCAACACAAGATTTCCATTTAGTTTGCAAATATCTAAGAAGTTATTCTACAGATACAAGTAGCAAAAAAATCTAACAGACTGTACTGTAACTAAACCTTGAAAACGCACTTCCTGCAGTCAGTGCATAAGGCCATACATTTCTCTGGTTTGAACTTAATTAACAGACACTCGGTAAATGTTCATCTCTCACACACGCGTATACTCACTCATCTAAGGTTCGTTTCTTTCCTTTGTCAATCACAGTCATTCCATTCTGGATTTGGAGGTACGGCTTCTCGGCCATAAGCTTCTTCATAGTGGCAGAACTGATACAGCCGTTCAAATGAGCGTGAAGCTCCTGGGAAAAAAAGAAAAATCCTATGGATTTGTGTCCGGTGAAAAGGATGGCTTCTACACCTTGTTTGTATTACTGTTCTTGCATCCTACATTATTGTTTCATTCTGAGTTTGAAAATAAAATAACAGTTATCTCTGTGTTTGGCTAATAATTGTTTCCTCATGCTTTTGCATGCACTGGTTCAACTGAGGCTGTCCTATTTGTTCCTTCTCACTCGGTGGGCTGTTGTCGGCATTGATCTCAGTGGGAGCGCAGCCGGCTCAGGCGAACGGGCTCTCCAGCGCATTGTTGGAGTGGTGCAATTCAAGGTGAGGAGGAAGCGCACGGCTGCCTCGGGGTTAAGAAAAGTATAATAAGGCTTCAAGAACTCTACAAGTTACATGTATATGTACGCTGTTCGAAAATAGCAACACTTGGATATCCACTCACCTTTCCTTTTTTCATGCTTTGAAGTTTTAACTCACACCAGAAATCCAGCAAGATGCTACCTCTGCCCATTAACAGCAACTGGAGTAACTGCCCTCCTTTGCCTGAGACTGCTTTTTGCCTGACTTCTCTTGACAACCTGCCTTTGGGGTCCAAACCTATGATCCTCAGCTCCGCTCTTCACTTCACCTTTGCTCCTTCTTATGATCTCTTGGCTCCTGACATATGGAACAGGACCTTAGTGCCCTCCCAACTCATTCAAAATGTATCTGCAAAGCATCTGCTTTGTTTACCTACCCTCTCGCCCCCCGGGAACGCATCCCTTCTCCCTGGGAAAAGAAAAATTGGAGAAATACTTCTTCAAACCTTCGACTGGAAAACGTGTTGAAATTGTTAACTCCTTCAAGATTTAATTATTTTAGTTTTGTGGAGTATTATATTTCAGATTCCTATTTTAAAGAATTAAGTTCACAAGCAGAGGAAAAGGGGTCAGATTATCTTAAACTGTGAAGGTGCACAACTCCAACTAAACGCCAGGAGCTATGGCTGCTTACCACTTCTGGAAGTCTAGCCAGATACATACAACTATTACTGCATCAAATTTTTCACAGTCTTACAAGTCAAATACCTCACAGAATTCAGTTAAGACATTAAACATAAACCCTGAAAAACATCTTATTGAAAAGGAGCCTGCGAATACAAGGACGGTGTGATTTGATGTGGTGTTGATTGTGCACCTGTGCATTTACTGTACGAGCTCTCTGCTGGAGTACGTGCCGTTTGCTGTTTTGCAAGTCTGGAACGGTAACACCGATAAAAACGCAGTACCGCGTACCGAACGACAGCACAGATACGCTACAAGTAAGGCACACCCTTCGGGACACAGGGAAAAAGAAGCGTTATCTGAGACAGGCTTCTTGGGCTAGCCTGGGCAAAAGGCAAAACAGGACAAAAAAAGAAAATAAAGATCATGCTCAATTGATTTAACTGGAAGAAGATGAGACACCAGGAACCGCAAACAAGCTGGACAGGCAGGCACCCACCGCATTCTCCTGTGGGACGAAGGACCTCACAGAAAGCGCGCGTTTGGTAAAACCCCTGAGAGCACAGCAGCCCCCTGCCCGCCGGCCC